ATGACAAGGTAATAATATGCTAGCGCTAGCTAGCTAGCGTGCTAGAGAGTATGACATGTTATCAATATACAGGCCAGAGTCAGGCACACTGAAAATTTCTTCAGGAATTTTCCAGTTGAACTTATTATTCTTCCGTACATTTTTCGGTCGACTACTTCTCCCGCAGTTTTGGTTGCACATACACAAAAAGGTACCAAAACGGTACCAAAGTAATGCCATCTAGAGTAACTATATCTTTAGACAGTGAGTCTCTGAGGTTTTTTGGGCCAAAGTACAAGAATTTCGTTTTTTTCTCCATATGGTGCTCCTTTTCATTGGTAGTCAATATCTATTTGAAGTTAACAAGTAACGAATAACGAAAATTCAACCATTACACACCAATGCCAGCCGGTGACTTAAAAGGAGGAACTCGTTGTCTGAACACAATTGCCCCTCTCGTGGTCCTCTGGAGAAAACCTATTCCGCTTCATGAAACCAGACATTCTTCTCCATCACGGTATCAAAACGTACCTTGTGAACCATGACAATTAAACCAACCCGACTCAGAGCAGCTCAGAGCAGCTTCCTCACGTGGTCCATAGTCTGATCCACTCTCAAACACACTTTAGCCATCAATCAGTGACGTCCAAGGCCGATGATTTATCCAATTATCTAAAATTATACAAAAACATCGTTCAAGGACCATAAATCTGGATGACTGCAATTTTCCTGATGAAACTCCAGACGAACCTTCCTTGTACCTTGGGCCCCAAAAAACCTTAAGACTCGCTGTCAAAGAGTATAGTTTACTTCTAGATGGCATTACTTGGCTCTAGCACCACTGTCCAGGATCTTGGAGGTTATCTTTGATTCAGGACTTGTCAATTTAGAACTCCCAAATAAAGCAACTGTAGGACCTTGCCTTCTTCTAATTTACGTAATATTACAAAAATTAGAGCACATCCTTATCACTAAGACAAGATGCAGAAAAACTAATCCATGCATTTGTTACTCAAGGCTGGATTTACGGCAACTCCTTTATTCATCAGGTGCCAAATAAGTCCATTAGACGCTCCAAATTAATTCCCAAAGCCACTGCATGCCACGAGTACTGACAGGAACCTAGAAAAGAGATCACATCTTCTTTCCTGTTCTAGCTTTTCTCTGCATGCTTCCCCTGTTAGATTTTAGAATAGAATTTTAAAAATCCTCCTCCTCAACCTAACCAAGCCTCCTTCATGTTCTGGGCGGCTGTGGCCTCAAGAGGCCAGAAGCAGGTCGTCCCCCACTAAACGGAACGGTGTTGGTTTGATCGGGCTCCTCCTGCCCACGTGTCAAAGTATCCTTGAGCAGATTATGCCCCGATGCATAGCATCGGGTGTAAATGTTGTAGAAAGGTGGAATGTTCAAACGTAGTGTAAAAGCGGCTTTTGAGTGGTCCAAAGAAGACTGAGAAGGACCTAATACCAGTACATAGGTTCCATTTACCATTTTACCATGGTCAACTAGGCCCCTATCATATCTCAAAAAGCTCATAGTACTATTACCCCTC